ACCCAAATATGGGGGTTTCCCAAAATTAGGGGTACCTTTTTGGGGGTCCCCATAATAAGGATCATGGTGTATTGGGGTGTATATTGGGGTCCCCCTATTTAGGGAAACTACCATATAGACTCCAAAACTGTATGATCCTACGAACGTGGACTCCAGAGAAGGACCCCGCTAGTTTCTTGAAACCCACAAATACTTTACATCCCTACTTAACCTTCTAACAGGTCCCGTAGTTATTGGAAAGCCTTGTAAACCCTATAAGCCACCGCACCCGCAGAACCTAGCAGAACCCCATTTTCCACATAATTTTCCATGTTCTTTACCGTTTGATTTTATACCCAAACCCATAACCCTTTATAAGCCCTATGCAATAAGAATATACGAGGACCCTAATTTAATCCCTACTATCCCTCATAGCCACTATTACCGGGTGGGGGGTCCACCTAGTATATCAACTAGAAATTAGGCAATGGCCTGACTGCCCAAGCGCAGCAAGGCTGCCGCGGCCGCTTCCTGGTCAAACTAGGAAGACTTCGGGGTTTCCCAAATTACCAGGATAGGTTAGGTGTACCATGGGTCATCCTATGCATCCCCATTTTGGGTACTGTACATACACCTAACCTCTCCTGTTAGGGAGCTCTTCTTGGGGGATTATGGTTTCGGGCCATGATGAGGATTATAATAGATTGGGTTATAGAATATGGGCAAACCCTAAACCCTAAACCCTGTTTATGGAAACCACCAATAGATTGGGTTATAGAATATGTGCAAACCCTAGACCCTAAACCCTGTTTATGGAAACCACCAATTCAAACCGTGCAGCTGAATGCGCTTCCCTGCCTTTGCGAAACATGAGTTAACATGATGGCAATGACTTTGTCCACGCCCTAAACTAAAAAAAACTAAAATCCCGACACCCTAAATCCTACACCTTGAGCCCTAAATCCTTAACCCTAAACAAAACCCTAAATCCTTAACCCTCAAACCACAACGAAGGCTCCTTCCATTCCCACCAGCTGCGGGCACGGTCAGCCGCCAAGGCCCCAGACGTGGCGGCGGCACCCTGATCCAAGGCAAGGAACAAGACCTGTACGTTTATATATATATATACATATATACATAAATACATATATATATACACACATACATGTATACATATATACATATACACATATATACATATATACACATATGGAGATGTACACGTACATATACATACATATATTGATATGTAAATCTGAGCATACATATGTATGATACTTTTGCAACTTGCAACGTCCATATCATAACATACCTTATACACAAAGATAGAAGAAAAGCGAGCGTAGCCCATTGGTCCGCCACTTTCCCTCCTGCAGCTTCAGAAGCAGCAGCGGTCTTAAAGCCAGCAAACCTCGCCGGTGAGACGAGGGAAGTCAGCAAGAGTAGGCTGGGTTGCTGCCAAGGAACTCAACTTGAATTCCTCTAATAAAGAAACCACACCATTTACTATGTGCCCATAACATGGTGACTTAAATTAAGTTCCTGAACAGCAACCCAGTAGACCCAAGTCCATCCCCAGTTCCAAATCTTTGAGCAAAGTCAGCTGTGTGGACCTTCAAAGTCATGGTCCCCTTTTTTTGGCTACCCCAAATATTATGGGTACCCCTAAACCCTGAACCTTAAACCCTAAACCCTGAACGCTAAACCCGAACCCTAAACTCTGAACCCTGAACCCTAAACCCTAAACCCTGAGCCCTAAACCCTGAACCCTAAACCCTAAACCCCAAACCCTGAACCCTAAACCCTAAATATTAGAGGCCATACTACAGTTTTGACAATCTACCAGCTGACAGTGAATAACTTGGCAGGCTCACGGTCCATAGGCTCGAAGTCAAGGGATGTTCCCCCAGCCTAGGTTGCTGTTAAAGAATGTAATAGGGTTTGGGGTTTAGGGGTTTAGGGTTCAGGGTTCAGGGTTTAGGGTTTAGGGGTATAGGGTTTAGGGCTTAGGGGTATAGAGTTTAGGGTTTAGGAGTTTAGAGGTTTAGGGTTTAGGGTTTAGGGTTAAGTCCCCCCTATAACGGAGAATCAAATGGAAAAGAATCTGGAAAATTAAATGGAATCTGGGAAATGTAGGGTTTAAGGAACTTAATTCAAGTTACTGCAATAAGGGTGTATAGGGGGTAGTTATATAGGGGAATTTAGGGACATATAAGGCTTAGGGTTAAGGAACTGAATTTAAGTTACCATGTTGGGGAAACCTTGCTATTTACTATATCTACCCATCATGATAACTTAAGTTCCTTAACCGCAACCCAGCAGCGTCGACGAGATGTTGGTGCAGTAGCTGAAGCGACTCTGCCTACACTTCCCACACCACGAAGACTTTGTCAGGTGTGCATGCAATTATGCAAAGCCCACACATTGCTAGACTGCCTGCAAACATTGCATACAAATCTGCAAACATGTGCTCACCCCAAACCCTAGACCCCGAACCAATGACTGCATCGACTTCTGCGCCTGATTGACCTCAGCCATGCTGTGCTCACCAGCAATGTCAGCAAGATTACAACGGGGGCAGCGGATGAAACTTAATGCATTCTGAGCAGCATCGAGGACCTTAACGCTTCTTCTCAACGCCTGTCTGGCAAGGAATGAAAGCGTGAAACATGCAGCTAAACCCGCAAACCTACATATCCCGATGTATCCCCAGAGAATCCTATGTCCTAACCCTAAACCCTAAATAACAGTTTCTGTTTTCTTTTCCCTTATCCCAATATAACCCCATATATCCCATCCTATCCCCAGGGAATTTTTTAACCTTCATGGACCCATCCCAGGATTTTGTGGCCTAAACCCCAAACCCTGAACCCTAAACCCTAAACCCTGAGCCCTAAACCCTGAACCCTAAACCCTAAACCCTAAACCCTAAGCCCTAAAGTCTTAGCTGAGGGCTCGACAACCGCCACGCGGAGCCCGAAGCTGCCCGAGCTTCGCGAGCGGCAAAGAACGTCATGGAGCCCAAGTAAAGCTGGGCCGCGCCCTGACGGGGCCCTCCTACGGAGTGTTACAAAGGACAGACCCTAAACACAGAGGTTTTTGCTGGCACATCCCTGGGAACCTCCTGGAGCACCTCCCTGGGGGCTGGATGGCCTGGGGTACCTTTCTACAGCCAAAAAACGTTCAAAAACGGTCAAAACAAAAGCTTTTGCGGCCTTTTCAGGGGCCTCCCGGGCCTCCCGGCCCTCCTAAAAGCTTCCCGGGGCCTCCCGATGTGCGGCTCCCTATCAGATCAGCCGCTGCCACACCAGTTTCCCACGTTCCTAGACCAACATTGATTCTTTCCAGGGGATCGTGTGCACAGCACTTCTCGCCGAGCCGTTAGGGCGACCCGACACGACAGCCTCACAGAAAGCCAGACCAATTGCGGCTGTTGTGAGACCAATTCTGGCGTTTCCCGGACCAATTCTGGCTCCTAGACTAAACTTGGTTGCTCCCGGACGAGCAGCCGCAAGCACAGCACATTCTCGCTGAGCCGTTTTAGGGCGGCCGCGGATGTACCCCGACGCAACATCCTCACAGAAAGCCAAGAATGACGATCACCATTGAGAGCGTGGCTGTTTTATGCCGCCTCGGCAGTAACCCAACATCGCGTGGCGACCGCTTTGCCGAACCTAGTAACGTCTGAAGCCAACCTTGCGCCGCTGTGTCGAGACGGCTACTGCCCCGACACAACAGCCTCAGAGAAAGCCAGCACTGACCATCACCATAAAAA